GAACACCTCGCACAAGCGCGAGCTCGTCGAGAAGGAGCTCGACGAGACGCTCGCGCAGCTCGGGCTCGACTATCTCGACCTCTACCGTGAGTGGCGCGCGCAGTCTATATGCATGTAGTGAGATGAAGATTGATGTTGATGTTGGTGGTAGTGGTTCATTGGCCGGTGGCGTTCAAGCCGGGCAAGGGGCTCTTTCCGCAGAAGGCGGATGGCTGGGTCGACCTCGATGTGGAGACGCCGCTGACGGAGACGTGGGCGGCGATGGTGGGGCTGCTCAAGACGGGGAAGGTCAAGGCCGTTGGTGTGTCAAACTTTAGCATCGAGCACATCGAGGGCATCGTCGAGGCTACGGGCGTGTGGCCGGTGCGTTCTGCGTTCAATCGATGAGGAGCCGCTTATGCTGAAGGGGGTGCAGACCGTGAACCAGGTCGAGGCGCACCCGCTCCTCCAGCAGGACGAGCTGGTCGAGTTTTGCAGGAAGCACAATATCCACATCACCGCGTACAGCCCGCTCGGGAACAACAGTACGCGGCGCACCGTGCTTACAGTGGTGATGACACCCAGCTGACGTTGGATCTGCAGTGTTTGGCAAGCCGAGGCTCACGGAGTACCCCGAGGTGCGGGAGATCGCCAAGAAGCTGAATGCGACGCCGGCGCAGGTGCTCATCGCGTGGGGCACCCACCGCGGGTACTCGGTCATCCCCAAGTCTGTGCACAAAGGTGCGCTGGTCCTTTTTTCTGTCTGCGCGCGCTGTGTGGCTGACAGATCCTCGCGGCAGACCGCATCGTTTCTAACTTTCAGCAGATCACGCTGCCGCAGAGTGACTATGAGGCGTTGACTGCGCTGGGCAAGAAGAACCCGACGCGGTACAATATGCCGTTCTGTTACTCACCGCATTGGGATATCAGCGTGTTCAATGACCCCGCCGAGCAGGGCGCGACGCAAAGGCCCAAGGTGAAGTGAAGCCCTGTTATCGGTATTGAAGCTGGGAGTGGTACGAGAAGAAGGTCACAATGTAAGAATACAGTGTAGATAGAGTGGACGAGGGCGAACGTCGTTCGCTTGTCAGAATAAAACACAGATGCGATAGACATATTAATTCGTCGCGGACGCTGTTCCTGGCTCTCTATCGCATCCTGCACGTCTAGCACTCTTCGGAAGAACAGACAGACGGGTGTGGAGGGCAGCAGGTTAGGTCAGGTTAGAGACGTGGGTGCGGCGATACGCACTGCCTGTTGCGTCGACCGGTGGACTCGAGCGGGTGCCGCAAAGAACGCCGGAGATAGTGGCGTCAGCGAGCGAGGATAGGCGTCGGGTATCGGAGACCGAGGCTAAACGCGGCTGCGCATGCATAGCAAGTGGACGGTGAGAGCGTTCGAGAAGGAGCGCGGTGTCCGGGGTGGCCGAGATAGGAGCGGGGAGTGGGGAAGCCGTGGCCAAGTGCGGGGGAATGCCCGTTGGAGACGGCGTTGCGGGCGCTCGATCTGCAGCGCAAGTGACCGAGTCCGGCGTCCCATATCGGGCATGCGTGCCGCCGTCGCTCGACGCTGCCGCTGCCCGTCGTCTCCTGCCCTCGCCCGTCTGTCGTCTCTGCCGCCACCAGCTCCGGCGCACGCCCGCATCTCCGGCGACCGAACGCAACGCTGCCATACAAGACGCCGCCCCCGCACCGCCAGGCCAAGGCCTCTGCGCCCCCGCATGAGCACCGCGTCCCCGACCGCCTTCCTCCTCTGGGCCATCCTCTCCGTCCTCGTGCGTCCTCTCCTTGTCGTCTGTCGCTGCTTACGCATGTGCTCCCGCCCCGCGCCCAGTTCCAAGTGTTTCTCACATACCATCTATGGAGCTACGACCGCTTCCAATGCCTCCGCTGGTCCTCAGGTCGCCAGCCAGGCGCGTTCAAGCGCGTCATGACCGTGCGTGCATTCTCTTCCTCGTCGTTGCTTGCTGACCTCTTTCATTCCAGTACTCGTATCTATGCTCCGTCCCGCTGTTCGTGATCTACAGCGTCGCGATGACCGCCCTCAAATACAACGAGGGTGCGTGTCATTCTTCACCCTTACACGTCCACGCCAACTGATCTGATACCCAACGCGCACCAGGCTTTATCGTCACCCAGGATCAGCGCAGTGAGCCCGCTTCTTCCTTGAGAGATGCGCACGCCGCTGATCGAGCTTTCTTTCTCGCGCATTGCTTTCCTAACTCTACGCGTTGCTTACGCGCGTGCCTGCCCGACCGATCCGTGTTTTTGCATTGTGATTCCTCTCTCGCCCGCTTCCCAACCTGTTCACTTCGCTCCGCCCGATCATACCTCCGCTGCGCACGACTGGCGCGATCTGCAGTCCTCCCCCGCCCGGTCTACATGTACACCGGCGCGTCCCGCCGCTGGTACCTCCCGCTCAACTTTGTCTTCAGCTTCGGCTGGGCGCTTGAATTGTGAGTGGTTCTTTCGCTTTATGCATCCTGAGATGGCGGGTTTGGTCTTCAGCAAGTGACGTCCTCGATGTGGTCGGTCCATGTCAATGGGAGTGATGGTAGTTGACTCGATATGTGGATTGACGCCACGACTACCGTTTCGTTTTGGTTCTCTGCTGGCTGTCCCACACGCTTTTGCTGATTCCCCTCACGCACGCCAGAGTGACGCATCTCGAAGGTGAGCCGCGTTCGTTCGGCGCTCGATCCTGGCGATAGGCTGACTCCTTCGCGACGCAGAGCTCGCGTTCTGGTTGTACCTGCTGCATCAGACGCCGGAGAAGGGCGAGTGGTTCGAGAGCTGGGAGTACAAGTTGTGGTATTGCGGTGGGTGCTCGTCCTTCATTTACCTCGAAGGACACGTCTGACGCTGAGGAACGCGGTCCAGGGAGCATCGTCGCGATCATTGGCATGCCGCTGACGTGCATGATCGCGCGACGCCATCTCGAGACGGTGCGCTCCCTCTCTGCTGCTGTTCCTACACTTGTTTAAGCCGCTCTCAGGTCGACGCGTATATATTCCTGTCGGGCTCGGCGGGCTCGTTGACCACGACGGTCGCGTTTCTGTATGTGCTTTGGAGCTTTCCGCGGTTCATTCGGCATGTCAAGTCTGAGGGCGCGGACCCGACGGTCGTCGTGCGTCTGTGCACGTTCTACCAGCTCAATGTAAGTGTTGCGATCGCGGCTCTCTGCGTTCACTGATATCCCTCGTCGTTGGTTGTCCTGACATCTATTCTGCGGTCTGAAGCTCGCGCGCGTCGTGTTCCGCTTTATGTTCACCATCCCACTGCTCATGATCGCGATCGACGGCATCTCGGGGACCACGCATCCACTCAACTCGAATCTGTGAGTCATCCGTGCCCGTCTTCGTCGTGCCGACTCGCTGAGCGATCACCGCTAGGTTCTCAACAGGTACGTTGCGAGTGATGGCGTGATGGCGTCGTGCTGGGGTTGGATGGATGGATGCTGACGCGCCGAGTAGATTTTTTGCAGATGATTGGGGGAGTGGGGTGTTTCGTTTCGTCGGCGATTACACTTCTCGTACGTGTTCGTTTCAGTGTTCGGTAACGACGCTCACCCTCCTCCGCCTTCACGCAGATCTTCTTCCCACGCTCAATCCTACGCGAAGCGGGATACAAGCCCAGGGCATCCTCAACAGCACCCAACTCGCCCAAGGACGCGCCCGTCAGCCCGCCGCTGTCGAACTTCCCGCGCACGATCGGCTCGCCGAGCGGATGGGACGCCGAGTCGGCGTTCGCGAGCCTGCCGGACGAGAGCCTGCTGGACGTGGAGGGCATCCAGACGTATCACCTGCAGGACGGCGTGCAGACGTACCATGTGCAGTACGTGCAGGTCGACCCGGAGGCGGACGAGGATGAGGAGGGGCAGCAGGCCCCGCCGTACCCTCATCGGCATCCGCATCGGTCGAGCGCGGGATCGGCGGTGGTGCACCAGCGGCATCCATTCCCGCACTCGCTGTCGAGTCCGCAGATCTTGACCCCGCCGGCGTCGCCTGCGCATGTGCGCGTGGCGATTCCTCCGCCTGTGCGGCATGCGCGGCAGGAGGAGGGGGCGGCGCGGCAGGAGCGGCAGGAGCAGCTGAAGTTTCCGAGGGTGGCGGGGAGGCCGGTGAGCTTGACTCATTCGGCGAGTATGCCGCCGTCGCGCGGGTACCGGACGACGTCGACGGGCTCGGGGTCGGGCTCGACGCCTCGGTCGACGGTCGTCATGCGTCTGTGCGCATTCTACCAGCTGAATGTAAGTGCTGATATTGTGATGGTGGCTCTCTCCGCGTTCACTGATATTTCTCTTCGTTGGTTGTCCTGACATACATCCGTTGTGCAGCTCGCGCGCGTCGTGTTCCGCTTTTCATTCCAATCTCTTCTTCCCTCTGTACTGCTCACATTCAATTTCATAATATATCTTTTGATTCTCCAGACACTGAAGTGGGGATGCGAGAGCAGTCCGAGACAGGTGAGACTGCAGAGTCTGCTGGACACTTGTGACCGTCTCACCCGTGCGTCATCACTGCTGCGAATCACTCGCCCGCCCGCCCGCCGCATCGCCGGCCAGTCGAATGCCTGCGAAACATGGCTGAGCGATGCGCAATGGTGCGCGCTGCGCTCTTTTCTCATATTCGCTGGATATTGCGTGCGGAGGGACCTCCGTTGGTGCTGGCGAAACACTTATACTGCCTTGGGCGGGCCACGCCGCCTCACTCATCGTGTACGCGCTCTTTCGATCGTGCGCCGCTGGTCATGCATGTGCCTCAGCAATCTCGGGCGCGCTCGGGGATCTCACAAGGTGTGCAGCGTCACATAATTCACGGTTGCCCTCGCCGTGCCTTCTGTGCCATGCTCCATTCAATACCCTCTTCTCTACCCTATCACATCCAGTCATCTACCAAAGACCCCCTTCGAACCCATCCCTTCGATCTTGATCTGCCCGGGGCAGCTGACCGCGACGTGAGGCGAGGAGGTGGATGCGAGACCGGCGGGTGCGGACTTACCTGCTTGCGAGGCGATGAACGCGTTCTGCGCGGGAAGGTGCGTGAGCGACGGGCGACGGGCGCGATGTGCGGATGGAAGGAACTTACGAGAGAGCGGCGGATGCCGCAGTGTCCAGGTCGGCGCGGGCTTGTTGTCCGTAGGTGCGAGTCGAGGAGAGTCGTCCTGGCGCATGTTAGTCGAGTCAGACAGAGGCAGACGGTCGGCACGCGCAGCGTACCAGGGCAGTCCATGGTAGCAGGTCTGCACCATGAATAGAGTCAGGGACGGGCTGTTCAGAAAGTCGTGTGGAGGGGACTTACGGGAGGAGCGGCGGGTGCCGCTGTGTCCAGGGTCCGGTATGGAGGATTGATGTCGGTGAACTTGGTTTGGGTCCTGCGAGACGTGGGTGTTTCATGGCCGGGTGAAGAGCGGCACACCGTGTGGGGTTGAGTTCATGGCAGCCTCGATGCGCTGTCTGGGAAAAGACACGGATGGGCACGGCGTGGGCGAATGGAAGGTGTGTTCATCTGCGCTAGTCCCGGGGGCACAATATGCACGAGAGCGGACAACGGTCAGTGCATTCGTATCAGTGGTTGGGGTGGAGGTCCGCGTGCATGCGCCATGCTAATACGGGACGGGTCTTCGACGTCGAGGCAACAACTGTCCACCAGTTTTGAACGGCTTGTTTTGCGTTGCTTGGGCGATCAAGAAGCGTCGGTGGTTGCACCGGACGCAGGCGTGCGGTTGGGACAGGAAGGGCAAGTCGCGAATACAGCGGGCACCCACCGACAAAGCATAGCTTCGCGGTCATCCTGGGAAACCACGCTGAAGTCATCGATGGTGTTGACAGACACGGGGAGAGATCCGCCCCCTATAATCGGAAGCGGACCTTGTTAGAGCGGCGTATGTACGCCATAACTCGTCTGGACAAGTCCTAAATGCATGATGTGGTCATGCCGCCTCAGAAACACCACGTCGTCTGACAGAGCAATTTGAGAGCACTAGTGGTCGGCGCTGAATGCGACCGTGCGAGAACTGCAGGAGAAACTGTGCGAAGGGCCTGGCGTGAATGTAGTGACCATGTGCTAGGCAGCTGACCATCGAGGTGATCCTGGAGAAATCGTTCTTGAGGTTGCCGGCAATCTGAGCGTGAATGTGGACACGATTTATACTTCGTTGTGGCTGTAGCGACGGTATCTCCTGAGGGCAACGGCAGCGCGCTGTCTGGAAAATAGCTACGTTTGTGAGCGGTTATGCTTTAAATGAGCATGCGATACGCACAAGATGTCTTGCAAAGAAATGGTGGGCTGGGGTCGGGAACCTGCAGTTGACATATCCGCATCGGAGGTCGAGTGAAGAGCAATCCGGAGATGCCAACATGGTGCCGGCCACCACATGCAAAGGCCAGGATGGGCTGGGCAATGGACACATCATGAACACATTGGCCATGGTCTGGAAAGCGGAGCAAGCAGTCCTGGATGACTGCGCTGAAGCTGTCGGTGCTGTAAGCGAAGACTTGAGCGGGGTACATACTTAAGTGTGGTGTGCTGACCTTGCGAGGGCAATGGATGCGTACTGGCTGGGAAAGGCTCGCGTCGATTAATGTGGTGACTTGAAGATGTTCATCGTGGTGTCAGACACAGGCACGAGGAGGGTCCATTTTGCGGATTCAGCAGCCGTGTGTTGGCCAGTCGAGTTTCACGGTGGTTCCTGTCGTGATGATCATTGGATGCACTTACAAATTGAAGCGGTGTGAGACCGAGCCAGGAGGTGCAGTCGGGCCTGCTTCTGTACATGCCGCACAATTGCTGGAAAGCGAAGTGGTCAGCATGGACTGACGTGAGCGGGACTCACCGAATATGCCCATGGTGAGTGAAGGTGGGAAGAGGGGAGAGAGGAGATGCAAGGTGGAAGGCAGACGATGCCAACATTTATTGCTCTGATCATTATTAAACACTATTATCACAGTTTTCTCACCGCAGGCAAAAAGGGAACTCTTCTGAAACATCGGGAGACAATGTCGCTGGTGCCGTGAGTCCGGCACTTGCAGCATTCCTTGAGCAACATCAATACCAGCGAGAGAAGGTCACTCAATGGGCTCACCTGGACACTTCCACCGAACTTCATGGTGCTTCCGGTCTCATAGTGTCTTCTCAAATGCACAGGTGCAGTGATGAATTGAATGGAAAAACGAAATATCATTGCCGAGGTTGGGCTAGTTCACTAATCAGTGCCGTTTCTGGCTCTTGAGATGCACCGGAAGTCGTTCGAAAATGTACATGGATTAATGATCAGCCCATGAGGATGGAAGAAGGCCGGGCATCAAGACAGAATGTACCCACGAGATTGCCTCCATGTGACCAGATACCCATCTCAGGCCATCAGATCGATGGATCGTGCGCTGATCTTCAACATTTCCAGTCACGTGTCACCCACCGATGAGCCCAGAACTGATGAACCAAGCTGAGCTGACTGGACCCAGAGCTGCAAGATGGTTCGCGACGTCGGGCGTGGGAGCCTCCAATTGTAATGCTTGAAATTAGACCCTACCCTGGGACAGAAGTCACAGGGAACCTGTATGATTTGAACCCCTGCCACCGCGGCGGTGGCACACCTCTAGCCTACTTCAACTTGCTACCTATTTCCTGCTCTCCGGCACAGCTCAGCCATATGTAAGCTTGGTATGAGACAGTAATGTTTTAAACTGATTACCGCCAAGCTCCATGCTGCTTAACTTTGGCAAGCCAGTTTGTCTGGGGTGAAAGGAGAGAAATAACACTATCAGTACACTTCTTTACAGCCCATCCACTGTCCCATCTCTCACATTCCATACGGTCCTCTCGTCATCCAGCCCACAGAGACCCCGGCGAGAATCCGACATGAGCGCCTAAACCCAAACACGCGTACCAATGTTCGTCCTCTGTCGGTGGGCCCGTTCCATGTAGCTGAACGAACGCGAACGTTGCGTGCGGTGCGCAGGTTGAGATCGCCGTGCGCGCGGGCTATCGCCACCTCGACCTCGCGATGATCTACGAGAACCAAGACGAAGTCGGGCGCGCGCTCAAGAAGGTCATCCCATCGGTATGCGCGCGCTCCGACCTCTTCATCACCTCCAAGCTGTGGAACACCTCGCACAAGCGCGAGCTCGT